ACAGCGATCTTGCCCCTCTACTTTAGGGCAGTGAGCCGTGCACCTAGACCACCTTGGCCTGCACACAGTGGGCCCTTGATAGAGACTCACTGTTCAGTGAGCACTGTGTTCACGTACCAGCGTGCGTGTGCACGCACATACACACACACACACACACACACACACACACACACACAGAGTCTGTATACTGGAGTATGCCCATGAGCGTGCTCACAGCAGGCATTGCTGGCCTGTGATATAGTACTCTGCAGTGTAACACCAGATAGAAGTGGTGAGACCAGCTCAACACAAATGGGCTTTCAACAGCCAGCCAATGCTAAGATGCCTCTGAGGACAGATCTATAATTATCTGCCCTGGAAGAATGCAGAACAGAATAGAACCTCTATGCAAGAGCTGGACCATTCCACCACCTAGTCCAGGCCTTGTGTGTCAGTTGCCTGAAGAAATGGCAGACTTTAAAAGTTGTGAGGAGCTGTAGTTACCTGAGTTAAGCGCGCTAAATATAGCTGGCCAGATGTGGGGCACTGAAGAGGCAGATCTGAGATCAGAAGGTGGGTGGGGGGGCCTTACCACTCTCAGCACAGAACCAATGGGGGGTAGGGAAGGGTGCCATCTCTGCCCTGACAAGGAGATGGAAGGAGAGGGGGTAGCAGGGACCTAAGCTTTGGTGTTCTGACCCAGTGCCTGATCTGACTGGGGAATCCCATTCTGGAAAACAGGTGTTTCGGGAAATGCAGACTCATGCACTGTGCGTGGTCTATGGTGGTCGAAGTATAGCCAAACTCTCTCTAGCAGATGAGACCCTGTGTTCTTGGCACTCAGGTCTTACCAATGTCAATGTTACTCCAAGCAATGTGTGTGTGTGTGTGTGCGCGCGCGTGTGTGCGTGTGTGTATGTGTGTGCATGTGCGTGTGTGTGCAAACGTGTGTGTGCGTATGTGTGCGTGTGTGCGCGCATGTGTGTGTGTGTGTGTGCGCGGGCGCGGGCGCGGGCGTGCATGTGTGCGTGCGTGCGTGCGTGTGTGTGTGTGTGTGTGTGTGCAGGGGAGATGCTGGGGGTGATTCAGGCAGTACGAGGAGTAGAATGCCTGGCCCCCCCGCATGGTTACAGGCCAAGATGTTCAACGTAATGTCCTCTAAGAGCCGAGGCATGGCGGGGTCGGTGGGTGCTCGCTCTAGAAGTGCCACTACTGGCATGGGCAGGGTTAGTCCTCACTGGCCTGGCAGAGCCCTAAAGCCTCTGCTGCCACCTGAGGAGAACCCCAGAGCCGTGTACTGAGTGGCAAGGGCTGGGCAGAGCTCTCTACAGCAGAGGGCATGCGGGGCCCAAGCCCTTGAGATGTTCAGCAAGCCGAGGGTGCGCGCCTCTGAAGTCCTTCCTGCCAGAGGTGCCGGCACGCCCCGTGCACTTGTCCTCTGATTGGTAGCAGCCTCCGAAGCTCCCCTCTTTCCTCCGTTACCTCTGTATTTTATCACTCGTGGAAGAAGGAGTCCATCCTCCCACCCCAAGGAGGAGTGTCACCTGAGTGCTGTGAAACAGATGGGACTCCAAAGACTCCAAGGACAAGTACGTACCTGGTGTGGCTGCCTTTCCCACCCATCCCTGAGATGGCCAGGGTCCTACGCCCATGTCGGCCTCTCCCAGACCCAACTCTCCCTTAGGATGTCAGGGTGGTTTCTCTGTGGGGTCACCTCCTTCTCAGCCCCTCTTCTCACCCCTCTTCTCGTGGCTGTGATTGGTGAAAGGAGTGTGGGTGGATGGAACTGCAGACCTGGGACAGAAGACCTGATTTCCAGTCACAGCTCTGCTATCTACGCTCTGGGTGACCTGGTGCAAAACACCCAAACCTCTCTAAGCTGTCATTTCCTCTCCTTTAAGATGATCTAAATAGCAGTGCCTACTTCTGTGTTTCTGTGTGAGCGCGGATCTGCGTGACAGCCGGTTAGGAGACACAAATGGGCTGTGAGTGTCACTGATGCTGCATCCGTGGTCTCTCCCTGTGGCTGCCCTCCTGCCAGGGGACTCCTGGTTGTCTCCTCCTTTCTCAGGATTGCTCAGAAGGGAGGGCTGGGGTGTAAGCTGGCATCCTGGTATGAGGATTCCTGCCATCATTCCTGCTCCTTTCTTCCCTTCCCTGTCCCACAACTCAGCCGTGCCCCTCCAATGACACTTGCATGATGTCAAGCTCTTCACATAGGCAGGTCTCCTGCTCCCTAGCCAAGTGTCCTGGCACACCTCAGGCCTGCCTTGACGCTGACCCCAGAGCATCTGTGTCACTTGCGGTTAGCACCCAGGCTCGAGCAGAGCCCCTCTTGCATCAGGCTGGGGTGACCTGGGGTTATTTTTATGGGAGCTTTTGTATCCTATTCCTCAATGCTTAGCGTCCTGGTTGGGGTGATGAAGTTAAGGCAAAAGTCTATTTTTACTTTTCACCCATCCATTTCCTGGGTTTGGAAAAGAAGAGAGATGAGAATTAAAAGGAAGGGGGCCTGGTCCATGGCTACCTGGGAGACTCCCACCTCCCCCTTGAGTAGTGATCGCCTCCTGTGGCCTCAATTCCCCTAGAGCAGAATGAAGGAGTGGTATCACCGTCTTGGGCACCATTACGTTTTGTGGAGGGGTTCTGATAACATGAAGGAATGGGGCCTCCACCAGTACTGGTGCTGGGCAAGGGGTGGGCAGCGTTCTTCATTTCTGTGATATTTTGGTGACTGTGCCAAAAATTATGTGAGAGGGTGGCTCCTAGGTAAGAGAGGAATATGGCAGCAGGGCTGGGGGATGCGATTCCCCGGGAATCGGGGCCCTGTGCTTGTGACGTCTGCCTCTGAAAGGACAGCAGTTGCTCTTCAGGGCCTTTTAGCGGACACTGGGGCAGTGGGGCCCATTCCCTCCTGGGCCCGGGGAATTGGGCTGCCACCTTCACCCGCCTGTGCCCACCTACCCTTCTTTCCTCCCTTCAGCGCTGCGGGGAGAGCACAGCGGGCACCACAGGAAGTTCCAGCCCAAGTTGTCCCCCAGAGCTGGTTTTCCTATTAAGATAGTGACCACAGACCACCCTGAATGCTGAATCTGCCTGGGCTCAGGGGCTCCAGAGGGCAGAATGGATCTGGTCAACCAGGGCTGCCTGGAGCGGGCGGACACGAGAGCCCCGCTTCCAATCCCTGGATGAATTCACGCCCGTTATTACTCAGGCTAATATCAGTATTCCCTGGCACACATGTTGATTAGAGAATTCTAATATCGGATCAGGGAGACTAGGCTGGATGGCCTCTGAGGCACTTACCTGTGCTAACCCAGTGATCCTAGAACACAATATAAGTGACCCTTGAACAATATGGGTGTAAACCGCACAGGTCCATATATGTGCAGAATTTTTTCAATAAAACAAAAAACGCCATCCATATCCCTGGGTTTTGCATCTGCAGATTCAACCAACTGCAGATCAAAAACAATATTTTCGATCTGCGGTTGGGAGTCTGTGCATGAAGGGCTGATTATACACATTGTTCTATGCCATTTTATTTATTTATTTGTTTGTTTGTTTATTTGTTAGCTGAGCCATCCTGCCACCTGTTGGCAGCTCAGCAGCAGCTCAGCTAGGGCAGGGCCTCGAACCGCTGTTGCTCAGAGCTCGCATTCTTGAGCGAGCTCTTAACCAACTGAGCCACTCGACCAGCCCCTATGCCATTTTATATAAGGGCCTTGAACAACCTTGCATTTGGGTATTCGAGAGGGTTCCTGGAACCACCCCCCCCCAAAGATAGAGTGATAACTGTAGTTAAGTTTTCGGGGAGTCAAAAGTTACATGTGAATTTTCAATTGCATGGTGGGGGCTGGCAGCCCCAACCCCCCGTGTCGTCCAAGGGTCAACTCCGTATTATCATTAATGCAATGTAATTCATTACAATGTGCTCAGTGGTGCACATAATTAATATATGGAGACTGTTAGCACTTCCACTTCCACAATTCTATGTGCTACGTATTTAATTACTTAGTACTTCTCAGGTTATAAATACACAGCCCCCTGAGCTAGATCTATCTCCACCGCCACTTTACAAATTAAGGAACTGAGGTCACAAACTAAAGCCCCCTCCCCCTCATTCATGACGAGTCCCACAGCCCCCTCGATGTAGGCTGCTGAAGAAACCTCCTGTTTGTCACCCACCCACTCTTTTTGCTCTCTCTGTTTGCTCTCCCCCACAAGCCCACGGAAGCACATCCCCCCCAAACCCCAAAGCTGGAGTTTGCTCCTCAGGCCTCTTCTTCCTCAGAAATAACAGTCAGTCTGTACTGATTCTGGTTGGACTCGAAACAAATCTCTTTGCCTCTGAAGGCCTTCGTCACTTTCTCTGATAAGTGAGACATACAGGCCTGGGAACCGTGAAGAGAGCCATGAATCCTCCCGGCTGGGAAAGCCACCTTGGACTGGGCGGTCCTCCGGCCAATCCATCCTTGTTCCGGCAGTGTGTCCCTCAGACACAAAGGGACCAGGGGAGATGTGTGAAAAGCACACCTGTCTTCGCCAACCAGGACTGAGCTCCTCAGGGAGACTTGTGGAGACCTCAACGTCATGGGCCAAGTTCCTTCATTTCTCATGACATGGGGCAGAGTGTCTTGTATTCAGCAAGTCACTACATGTGAAATGTTTTGATTTCTGTATCTCCCTCACACTGGAGCCAGCTTCTGCCTTCTAAAGCTCATGGCTCGTGTGTTAGGATTCAGGATTTTTGGAATTAAGGAATTTTCTGGGTTTCATATTAACTCTGACAGAGGCAAATGTGTTTATAGATGCTTTTCTCAGCCCCTGTCACTTACCAGGACTGCGACCTTCACCACAGGGGTCTGTTTAAACTGTGTGCCTCTGCATGCTCGTCTGAAAAATGTTTGGCGTCCTACCACATGCCACGGGTTTAGTGAGGATTAACTGGAGTGGCACGTATGAAGTGCTTCCTGGGAGCTGTGTAAAGAAACACAAGCTCCCCCTTCCCTACTCATAAATCCCTGTCTACAGTGCTAAGCACCATCCTCTGCTTGGAGCCTCAGAGCTGTCAGGGAAGGTAAGCAGGGGCCCCGCCTCCTGGGCTCCAATATTTCATCACAGGTGCCATGCCTTGCCCCATCCAGGGTCCTTGGGACATTCCATAAGGCAAGACCTCAGAGCTCCTCCTCTGCCTCCCTCCCCTAGAGCTCCAGCTGTACCCCACCCTCCACATCCAGAAGGTGTCATGGCTGACCCAGGGGCCATGACAGTTTTTAGAAGGCCAGTGGCTCGTTGTCACTTCCTTCTGTACTTTGGTCCAGTGGGTCGGGTTCAGTTTCTCATTTGAGGAGTCAAGTGCCTCACTGAGGGCCTGGCTTCTTGACTTGTCCTACCTGTGACAACTGCTGTGTCCTCAACAGCATGTGTACCTCTGCACCCACTGACCCTGGGCTACAAAGTAAGAGTGATGGGTATCAGGAGCCCCGAGGCACCCGAAGCAGGAAGAAAGTGCCCCCTGAGGCCAGAATACAGGCTCTCCTCCGTCAGAGTCCCGCGCCTGGCTTTTTGTGCTGACAGCCACGTTTGCTGCCGCTGCCACCCCTGCTGTGGACGGCCTCGTGGGGCACAAGAGTGGAGGACAAGGGCAGAAAAAAAATCAGGGGACCCTCTCCCCCATGCTGTGAATTTCAGAAGTCAGTCCCCTATTCCCCTGCTTTAACTGGCCCAGAGGGTTTCTTCTCTATCTCTCTCTGTACGTACCTAGTGCTCACTTCCAGGTTTCAAGCTGTGCTGCGTTCTGCTTCGGGGAGGCCCATGGAAAAAATACACTAAACTCACCACCAGCTTGGTGGTGCTTGGAATCCTGGTTCCCCCGTCCCTCAATTTATTTGCTGGTACTTACTGTTCAGAGATTTTAAATAGCTGCACCGTGCATTCTATCCTGGTTTTATAGTCAGTGGGAGAGAGAGGCTGCCGTGGGTTTACCTTGTCTCACCTGGAATAGGACACGATAAGATGTTAAAGCCCTATCAAATTGTGAAGCCATGGTCCTTCTCCTCCCGCTAGGAGGAAGGAGACAAGCCCCGGCTGATTGCCTCATTGTCCTATATCCCATGAAAACACAATTGGACCTATTCACCTATTCACTCCTTTTACAAATATTTCTTAAGCACCAATTCTGTGCTAGGCCTCTTCTAGACGCTGAGAGTACAGCAGGGGGAAAAAAAGCAACTGCCAGACAAGGCAGTCAGGATATAAACAAATAGTTAAATATATAATATGTAGGTGATAAGTACTATTATGAAAAGTAAAGGAAGGTAAAAGGGTGGGAGTACATTTTTGTTTTTTTAAATAAAGAGTAGACAGACAGAGCTTCTTTGAATGGGTAATGAAATCTGAGTAGAAAGTAGAAAAAGATGAGCTCTCTAAATATCTCAGGCAGAGTGTTCCAGCAGGGGGAATTGCCAAGACCCCTTGAGGGCCGAGAGAACAGGTCTGGCATGCCTGAGGAAGAACCTGGAGGCCACTGTGAGCCTGGAGCGCGGGGACAAGGAAGAGTGCGCTGGAGGACAAAGTCAGAGGTCGAGGGAGGGGAGGCAGATCACATGTGACCTTATAGACCCTGGTTAGGGCTTTAGGGAATGTGATGTGACGCTCTCACTCACAGAGAGGAGTGACACTGTCTGACTTATAATTACGATAGGCGCCATCTGACTGCTGCTTTGAGACTAGACTGGGGTGGGAGAATAGGGGCCAAGAAAGAAACAGATGCCCCACCTAGAAGGCTATGAACTAATTCAGAAGAGAGGAAACCATGTGCTTGCTCAGGACTATTCGGACGGAAGAGGTTAGAAATGATTGGGTTCTGAATATACGATGAAGGTAGAATGAACAAGAGGTGTTGACAGAGGAAGTTAGGACAGAGAGCGGTGGTGAATGGTCAGCGTGGAGTTGGTATGGAGACCATCCTGCAGTCACCCTGCTGGCCCAGGAATCTCCAACCCAACATCCCTGACATGATAGTCAGCCACTTAATGAACACTTCCTGGGTGAGAGGATTCACTGCATCACACAACAGCTTTCTTCCATCCTTTGAAGTTCTTTCTTGTAGTCACTCAAATGCTATGTCCCTGTGTCTTTCTCTTGCTGTTGCTACAGCAATACAGGGCAGGTCTCCACAAGCGCCCACAGACAATCTTCCAGGCTCCTGGCAGAGATGGGCCTGGCCTCTCCCTCAGCTCACATTCCCCATCAGTGCTGTTTTCAGTCCCCCTGGACATGAACAAATTCCAGAAGGAAGCAGCTCCAGATCTTCTACTAAGTAGAAGGGCCAGGGATTGTTTGTCCTCTGAGCTCTTTCTAGAATATCATGCATAGGTTTTGATCAATGATTCACATTCAGACTACAGATCTAAATTCAGCAAATGCTCTCAGCTCCATTCTTTTTTCCATGTGGGGGGAAAATTAGAGAGCTAGCTTAGATCTTGCTTCCTTACCACTGAGAATATCAAAGCAGTTAGAAGAGCATTTCCTTAGACACCCCCTCCCCATCATCCAACCTATCAGTATCCACGTCCACACTCTCTGCTTTTCTGTCCATTAGAGTAAATGAACTACCTGTGCTCCTATCTAAAGCCTCCCCTTTTTCAGTGTATCCCACCCCTTCTCACATAGTTAAGAACACTGAAAATTTGAGGAAACAATGAAGTAGAACTAATATTGTTAAGAAGAAATTCAAAACACCTTCATAGAAGTAAGAGAAAACCTAAATTTATGTAAGGGCCAAACATGTGCCTGAGAAAATTGACAGAGAATGATCAATTCAGAGACATAGCCAATAAAATTATTAGACTTTAGAGACAAAGAAGCAATACCCAAGGCCTCCAGGCACAATACCCATCATACCTAAGAGTATGAAAATTATATTGGCATCAAGATATTCAAGAGCAACCTGAAAGCAAGGCAAGAGTGGAGCATTATTTTCAAGTAACCTAAAAAAGGGAAATAAATTGTGAGCCAAGAACTTTACATGCAGCAAAGCTATCATTCAATTATCAAGGCTATAGAAAAGCAAATTATATATGCAAAGAGTGAGAGAATTCTGTACACATGAGCCTTTCTTGGGTAACCTGCTGGAGGATGAATTCTATTCAATCAAGAAATGACTGGGGGAAAATTTTGGCGAAAGAATGATGGTGAGCACGTAGCACATTTAAGTGGAGATCTAAAATTTAAACAAGAAGCAGCGACCAGGGATGAAAATAACTTGTGAATGTCACATTTTGTGACAAAGTAGAAAGAAGGCAACTTAAAATCTGAGCCAAGACAGAAGACGGAAAGAGGAAAGTAGAATAGGTCGTGGTTGCATAGGGAACAGGTAGGAACCAAGTGATACCACTTAAAATTGGCAATTCAGATAGTAAAAGGTTAAATAAGAAAAAAAGGTAAATAAGAATGTTTTAAAAGATATCAAAGCAAAGGTAACTGTGAGAGCAAACATGTACACTTTTTAAATATCAAAGGAAAGTTTTAAAAGAGCAAACAAAGACATTTTATATAGAGAAAGAAGCAATAAAAATCACATAATACATAAACTAATTATAATATAAAATGACACGAGGAGTTGACATCCAGTATATTCGTCATATCAATAAATGTAAATGAGGTTAACTTGCCTAGTAAAAGAAATAGATTTTCAAAACTTTGATCTCTTCCACATACAAGAAAAGCATTAAAAACAAAGTGACTCCAAAACCAAAATATAAAAGGGGATGGGAAAAGTTATGACAGTTAAATAGAATAGCTCTAAAGCAAAGGTAGCAAGACTAATAGTAGATAATGCAGATTTTAGGCCAAAAAGCATCAAACAGGGCAAAAACACATTAGAATGCAAAACACCACAATCTACAATAAAACATATCAGTTATTAATATCCCTGCCTTATTACAGATTATGTACAAACCACTTATTTATAAAATAGAAATTGCAGCAATGCAAGAAAAAATGTAATAATAAGAGAGTTTCACACCCCACTCTCAGTACTAAAGGGGCACATGAACAAAAAACGAGTATGGATAGAGAAAACTTAACCAAATCAGTGATAAATTAGGTTCCATAAATATGTATTAAATGCTACACTTTCTTCTCAAACAGACATGAAACAGTCATTGAAATTGATCATATATAATATCACAAAGGAAACATAAGTGGGTTCCATAGTAGGAATATGGAATTGTCTGATCACAATGCAGTAAAAGTATAAATTAAGTGCAAAATTTAAAACTACCTTTCCAAAGTTGGAGAAAAGGCCTGACTTCACTCTACCACCTAAAACAACAACAACAAAAGATTTGAACAAAATATATGAGACAACGGTTTTCACGATACCAGACATTAAGCCATGAAGGACAGTGATTCTGAGGAGTTGAGGAACAAATGAAATGAGTTCAACCATTTCACCAGCTTAGTGCCTGGAGAGTTTCCAGGCCCCGGTGCAGGGAAGGGAAACCCAGGAAGAACCCAGTGGACTCCCTGGTTTGAGAAGCTGAGAGTCTGAGGAGATCAGGTGGCTAGAGTTCACAGGACAGAGTATCAGAGAGAAGAGAGTTGCAGAAGGTCCCATTGAGTATGCAGCAGAAAGCTGATCAGTATATACCTATGAGGAAACTGTCTTTAGTCCATTTAGGCTGCTATAACAAAACAGCATGGGCTGGGTAGCTTATGTACAACAGAAATGTATTTCTCACAGTTCTGGAGGCTGGAAGTCCAAGATTGGGGTGCTAGCATGATCAGGTGCGGGTCCTCTTCAGGGCCCCAGATTCTCATTGTATCCTCACATGGTGGAAGGGGCTAGGGAGCTCTCTGGAGCTTCTTTTATAAAGCACTAACCTCCATTCATGAGATTTCGACCCTCATGACTTAAGCACCTCCCCAAATCCGCTTCCCCCACCCCCCACCCTCACACACTAATAAAACAACCTTTGGGGGCTAGGATTTCAACATATGAATTTTAGGGGGCACAAATATTCAGACCATAGCACTATCCAAAGCCATAAAAAGGATAAAAGGAAACACAGC